TTTACACTGAATCGACGTTCACTTTTATTGCTTTTGATCTTCCGGCACTGTTGACTCAGCGAAACTGAACTTGTATTTTACCGTATTTCGTTATATTAAAACTGCTGTTGCATTAGGTCAAATTCCCGATAAGTCAATTGCTTTAACGTAGACCACGTTTTTAGCTCGGACTGTATTATTTGACTTACTGGGACTTTTGATCTACAGACACTGCAAACATTGTAGTTTTTGACCTAGCGGCACAGGTATAAATTATTTGATCTTCCGGGACTGTTGACTTCCAGCAACATTCCCGCATAATACATAGTAGGCCAGACTATATGGAGGAATTATTGTTTTCGTCAACATTTTCGAGTTTGAGTGGATATATCCGTTTTTGGCCCACCTGAACTCAAAAAAAGTGGTTCTCGAGTGAAATCTGTCCGTGTGTGTGTCTGTCTGTATGTGTGGATGTGTGCAGAGCTACAGACCATAGGCCTACCTGTGGTTCGATTTTGATTAAATTTGGTATGTAGGTACTAGGTAGTAACCTGTTGTATCTCCAGGCGTTTTTTTTTTTTTTATTTCTTTATACATTTTTATTTTTGATGATTTTCCCAAAAAAACCATAAAACGGAAAAATGAAATTTTTTCAAAAATGGCCTGAACGATTTTGAAAAAGAAAATTTGTATGTCTTAGCCCTTAAAATTCTAATCAAAATGGTAGAACCCCGATTTCTGTAAAAATTACAGTTCAACAGTTATTGTAGCCTAGGCCTATGTTATTTATTTTCCCATCAAAATCATAAAATAAGAGAAAATTGGATTTTCAAAAAATATCTGGTTTGGATTGAAATTATATAATTCTTAACAACATAGTGCATTGCTGTAAAAATTATGGTTCAAAAGTTATTCAGGGTTGTCAGCAGAATGTATAAACAAAATTCACACATTTTCCCCGGTTTACCCGGCTTAAAAGTACGAAATTCCGGGCGTCTAATATAGGCTACTTACAAGAAAAGCCCAATAAAAGCTGTAAAAACAAATTAAAATAACGGATATTGGTAAATAATTAAAAACCCACACACGTTTATAAGCCCTTAAGGCAAATTAACAAACTCTTAATATTCACTCAACAAGCACTGCAAATTAAGGTAAAAATTTAACATTAGCCTAATGAGTTTAACATTTGTCAGAATAAACTACTGAGCTAGGCCTACTGAAGCAGTTCCGAACTGCCGAACGTTACGATTTTCAAGTTATATTTGTTAATAGTTAGCCTACTTATCTGTAAACTGGTAAAAAACCAATAATTATTACAATTAAAACTAATGTATTTTCCAAAATTAACATAAATGTTGTACCTTGGTGGTAGAAAAATTAAAAATAAACAAAATTCGTAGTAGAAAATGGTTTTCTTAGGCCTACTAAAGCAGTTTTTACCGCTACGTTTTTCGCGTAATATTTGCCGATAGTTACTTATGATTACTTTATAGTTAGGGCCTACTTATGATAGAACTATAAACCGGTAAAATCCCAATAATTGTTACAATTATAACTATGTATTTTCCAAAATTAGGCCTAATTAAACTAAAAGTCGAAGCTAAAACATCAATTCATTGCTAGCTTCAGCTGACTACTCAGAGCACTGTAGGCCTATTTTTATCCATATGAAAAAGTGTTAACTGTCTTTAGTTTATATGTTTTGTATGTTCTATTAGAAGTAAAAAAACAATCTGTATTCTTGTTGAAACGGCTAAATGTACATAGCCACAACACAAGGCTCAAGCATGAAATTGACATTCCCTTTTGTAGATTGACCAAAGCAGCCAAAAGCTCTAAAGTTATAGGGCTTAAACTGTACAATATACTACCTCATAATGTCAAGAATATTGAATCCTTTGCTAATTTTAAAACTGTTGTAACAAATAGTCTTCTAAAGCACCCACTTTATTCTGTTAATGAGTTTTTGCATTTGAGTGCTACTGATTTTATAGATTTTAAGTAACATGCATTGTTATTCAACAATTTTTATTTTATGATATTTATTCTCAATTGACAACTGTGATCTCTTCTGTGATATAGGCTAAGTTTTACAGTGTCTATTGCACAACCGTGTCGATTGGGAATCGTATTCTCATCACTGAAATCGTTGTGTCGTCGGTCTAGTGTCTACATTCTACAGTACAGTTCCGCCATTGCTTGCTACACGAACGCACAACGCGAACACAGACAAATACTTATTGCGGTCAAGGTTAAGTTGATACCAGCAATGGCGGCAATAGTTGTGCCTCAGTAGCTACTAGGAGTAGCGTCGTCCTGTAATCCAGCTACTAGGAGGTTTAACGAATTGTGGATATTTATAGGCATGGACTGTGGATGCGATACTCCCTGGTGTGGATTAACGTCCGCACGAGTGAGTACTACGACTATCCGCAGTACTATCCTGATAATTAGACCGATTCGTATATACCAAGGCAAAAATGTGGTTCGGATTCCACTATAAACTGTAGGTCCAGTTGCCATTAGCTGTATGGGCTATTAATTAACCGCTGTGTCTAAGAAATGTCGGCCTTAGTCACTAACAAGACTACAAGATCGTGCCACTCACCCTACACTCATCTCCATTCAAACTTGGCTTAAGTTAAAATACCCTACTTTGTATGGTCGCCATTTCTTTGAACAGTGTTAACAGTATTAATTAATATTCTACTAGGAAGTAATTCAAGCCATGACCTTGTGTTTTGAGACCGAGTTTGGCTTTGTTTCAGCTATGCGTAGATCGACACTGATGCTACCCTGATATACTGTAGATGCTTCGCGTTATTATAGCCGGCGGCCAATCGGCGTATTCTGTCAGCGGACCCGAGATTCGATTCTCGAATCTGGTCAATTTCTAATCTGAATCTTCCGTAAATATACATTCACTATAATTTTTTTTTGATAAATTTGTTTAAAATTGTTAGAACTACAAAATTCCTTGAAAATAAACGAACAATAGTTGAAATTCACAGGAAATCCCTGAATAATACCATTTTCACGTTACCATAGGTGGATTTGCGGTTTGCGGTTTTTTCAGGGCGGTTAAAATTCACGCATAATTCCTGATTTTCCCGGTCGCTAACAACCCTGGTTATTTAAATTTTTGTCATTTTAACAATTAAATACCATAGTTAGTTACTCAAATCGCTTACCCATGATAACAGTTGTTGACAAGCTAATGGGAGAAACTATGTTTCAGATTGCTGATATCGTTTATTTTAACTGCAAGTACAATATATTGTAAACTCAAGCATCGTCTATGTTACGGTATGTCAACTATCAACAAAAACTAAAGCAAATATAATATTTGCTGCAACACACTCAGGGTGTCTACTACATTCTGGATAAAAAATTCATGGACAATTCCCGTACATTTAAGGACACTTTGCCGTAACCTTTGTCGGTGTCATTAGGCCAACCGAATAATTTTCCTGATTTGTCAAACTGTATTAATCTTGTTATTCACTGTAGTTGTACCAGAGAGAAAAGTAAATAATAATAGATAAGAGTTAAAAAATTCAAAATAGAAATTTATTGAAAGTAAACAAACATAGGCCTACCTATACTTTAGGTAAAGCTTTTATAGTGTAACAGAGAAACGCAATCATTGTCTCCTGCGATAGCGACAAATATCTCCATCGGTCACGTAAACTTCATAACATACCTTATCCGATCCAGGCCGATTAATTTGGCATGATTCGCCCTGGCACAATGTTAGGTTCTAGACTACTTTTGAAAAAAAATCTTAATGCATATTGTTACTCAATTCTTAGTACAAAATCAAGGTATGGTAAGCGGCTATTAATAAGCAATAAGCACAGAGTAAGATTATTGTATTTTCATTTGCAAAGTTAATATCGACACATAGCAATCATTAGTTGTTTATCTTAGGCTCAATTACATTTTCTTAATATATTTTACAGCTCTTTCAAGAATCAAAATACCCAGGCCTAGACCTAATTAGGAGGGCCTATATAAACTGAGTAACAAACAATGAGGTTATAATAGCAGCAAAGTCACTATCATCATTCTAGTTCATAAGATTTAGATTGCTTAAAGCATACAACTCAATAAATAAATATATGGGAAACAAAAAACATTGAAACCTGAATAGCCAACAATATAAGACAAAGATACAGAAAATGCAATGACATAATTTGAAACCAAGCAGGCCTACATAGTGATAAAACATTAATGCAAACAACAATGCTTGTGGTTTTGTCAATTGAAAGATAAAATGTCCATAAAAAAGGGGTTAACTTACAAAATAAGACTGTAGATTATTTACATGTTTAATATGAAACCATAAACAGTTTTATGGCACTAGGCACTGGCCGCGGCAAATTGAATCTTCAAGCCAAAAGTACAAGTAAGAAGTGAAATTTAACAGCCATTATAAAGCTATTATTTTCACGATAAAATAGGTTTGGGATCTAATAATAATTACCCTAGTAATAAAAAAAGAAGTTGTAAAGGAATAAAAGTGATACAACTTTTATGAGCTAGCTGCTGAGTCAACAGTTCTTGGAAGTACTTGACTTGACACTTGATTGTCGTGATAAAATATTAATGGGTTTGAGATTGTTAATGGGATTTTTATTGCATAATTACTCTAGTAATAAATTATGAAAATGTAAACAAACATCTGATAAACCTTTTATGTGCTCCTAACCAACTAGCGATCAATAAAATTATGGCCCATTAAAAATTTAAGGACATAGTCTGGCATTTAAGGACAATTCCCGTACATTTCATGGCCAGTAAAAATTTAAGTACAATTCCCGGTTTTCCCGGATTTCCTGGTTGGTAGACACCCTGAACACACTTCATCACTCGCTCATTCAATTGCGGTACATCTTTGGAATGAAAAGGCCTTATTGGATGTCTACTTCAGTAGGCCTAGCCAAAAGTCAATGTTGACTCACATCTGGCTTATTTTGGATCCAAGTTTTTCATTGTTGAATACTTTGATAACTCACCGGTCCAACAATGTCCGACACATGAGAGACAGTGGTGCCGGACGCAGCACCCAAGTAGAGCACTTTGCTGCCTGGAGGCATGTGAATCTGATCAATCCCACCAAGGATGGCTGCCGCTAACTTGGAGCGGAACGGATTCCACACTCTGTACTCCTTCTTCACATCGCCTTCTTCTACTGATATCCTTTTCTCGCCATAAACAGCTTCTCCAGGAACCATATTTAACGTGACTAGAGCATCTTCTTTACCACGAGCGATAAAAACTCCCGGATGCCTATGGGGCTCGATGATTGCGTTCTTTCCTCCACCAAAACCTGAAAGGTAGAGGACCAAAATTAATCTCTTGGAACAAACTTATAAGATACCGGTATTACCACCAGCTTAGTACTTAGAAGCGTACCAAATTGTGATTAATTAAAATAACTTCTTCTGACAACCTTATTGTTTTAACTCTACATGACATAATAGGCCTTTAAAACACATTCGTTTGATAAATTTGACATTGTATCTGTATTTTTTTAACCACCCACAAATTCAGTGTTTGTTACGGTAGTTCAAATTTGTGAAAAAAAAGTCATTCAAGTAATTTAAAACCTGTACATACACTGTAATTTTCTTACTCCTTCCTACAAAAATACATCAATTAAATAATTACTAGAGGTCGTCCAGTGGTCGAAACTCGACCATAAATATGTAATTTAATTATTTTCAAAGCAATTAACCATCACTTAATTTGAAGGCAATAATTAAATAACAATTTATTCATTGGTTGATTTGGATAATATTCTCTAATGATTAGCTAATGACTAAGTGATTTTATTAAAGTAGATTAAGTATGTCAAATTCCAAGAATATATTATGCCAGTTTGTTTGTTTTGATTTGACACGTATGAACACGTGATTGTATTAAAGAGGTCCATCTTCAAAGATATTCCACCACAGCTTATAACCACTCTAGCTAAAAAATCCAATTGCACTTAACCACTCTAGCTAAAAAATCCAATTGCACTTTACATACTTCTCTATTTTTCACCCCACTCTGTAAATAAAACATGTGATTGGAATTTTTTTTTGATTTTCTGTTTATATTTCGTTGTTATTTCGTCACTATCATGGCAACCCATAAAGCCCATGTTAATTTTTTGTTAATTTCAAATTCATTTTTTGTGCTTATCTTTGAGCCTATTTTAATTTATAATGGGATTCTGCACACCTACAGGAAAATATTTTTCTAACAGTATGCATAGATTTTCCCTACGACACACACGAGCTGAGAAAAAAGGTTTTAAAGAAACATGCTTGCCTATTAATATATAGATTTTCATACCCTTAAAACACTGAAAACTCTGGGACATAGTCTTGGATGTTAACACAACCGTAATAGAATCTTAAATATTTCCGTAGGGAAATCACATAATCCTAGAATAAACTAAAACTTTAATCAGATGTTTGGTTCCTTAATTTAAGGAAGCCTACACAAGCTAGTAGCAAACATTTACAATTTCAATTTTGTTTCTGCTTTTTGAAATGTCAAATTAAAGTAATTTACAGCTGATTTCAATTATTAAATATTTGGTTATTACATTCATACAAACATGAAAAATTGAAACTTTGGGGGCCCGTGGGGTGTAGTCCCAGGAATATAAGAACATGAATAAGCCTCTGTGTTAAACAGGTATACAGGGTGATATATCCTTGGACAGTTGAATATTTAAAATAAATAATAAATACAGAGCTTCAAAAATTGGTAAAGTTACTGGACATTAAAATCATTCTAACACATTATCCAGTCAATGATAGAGGATGGTTCCTTAAAGAATTTTTTTTAATGGAGCTCAACGTTTATTAAGAAACTTACTTCTTCTGGGTGTGCCACCTCGACCACCGCCACCTCGACCTCGGCCACCGAACCCTCCTCTGCCTCCTCCTCGACCACCGCCTCCTCCCCTTCCTCCTCCACGAGTGCCAAAGCTTGGTCTACCTCCTCCACCTCCACCTCTTCCAAAACCCCTTCCACCACCTCCTCGACCACCCGGTGAAAAACCTGAAACAATTTCAAACAAAAATCATGAGACACTAAGTTTAGTTAACTTGGGCCACAAAGACAACTGGTAAACATAAAAAAGTTCAATGAACGGAGATGCTGAGTCCTAACCGTGGTTGCGATGTCTTGATCAATTACAACCTAAAACCTCGGTTTGCAAGATCACACTAGCTTGAGCAATAGGCCTTAATGCACTAGTAATAATGAACTTTACTTTTTCCTTAGTATTGGTTGATGTAGGTTTTTTTTAATAAACCAGTAAAAACGTTGTGTGTTCAAATGAAAATTCAAAACGGTGCTGCCGAATGTGAAGTGCACGCTGTAATTAGTTTTTTAAGTGCTTAAGGTGTGAAAGCTATTGAAATTCATCAACAGATTAGTGAAAGTTCATGGTGAGAACATTATGAGTTACACAAAATGGTACGCAAGTGGGTCAGGGCATTTAAAGCCAGCCGCACCAACGTTCATGATGAGCAACGCACTGGGCGGCCATCTGTCATTACTGATGAATTGGTGCGTAGGAAAAGTCCAGCTAATTCCAGCGCACACTTCACAGTCTGCGGCAGTCTCAATTGGCTGCACCATTTTGAATGGTCGAAACCGGATGTAAAAACAGCCGATTGTTGCAAAATTTCCAGCACAGCCTTGCCAATAGATGCACATGCAAAGCACAAATATCCAAAATGCCAATCGCAGTGCTGGAACGGAGAAATTTAAAAATGGTTCCATACTTACTTAAAAAACATGCCTCGTATTTCAACTGAGTTAAAAGGTATTTTTATGTTTAGCCTATGAGAAAACCAAACATACTGCTACCTAGAGCATAGCTTAATAAAATATGCGCATTCATATTTCTGATGGATGATTCAAAGGGTTGCTTGTTGAAATGTGATGCCATCACTCATTTTGGTAGGCAGTCCTTCGTTTCACCTAATTCATGAACATTAGCCTAAGTCTATTGGATAAAATTTGGATAGGCTATGCCTAAACTAAACCTACCCAACTACAACCTTGAAGACCCATACTAATAGGGGTTCTGAGTCTTAATAAAAATCTCTGGATGTACCGGTAATGAAAATCCAGATTAGATTAGGCCTAAATCATCTGAATTAATTAAGAAAGACAACTAAGCTATTCCAGGACTGTAATGGCCGTACTAATCTGTTATAAAGGCAAGTCCACGGCAACACAACTTTTTAAAGTATAGGTACTAACTTTATCTGACATTGAAATCTATGTAGGCCTAGGAGGCTACCAACTTATCTTTTATTTATTTATTGACGGCAAAATCGTCATTTTTACAATAAATAAACATGCATAGCGATATGTGGATTACTAATACAATTAACATGCAGTAAGTTTTACATTGTGCTAATATAGTCATGCTTTAAGCCGCGTTTACACAGAAGTTTCAAACGAAAGTTGCAAACTTTTATTGTAAATAGCAGTTGCAAATAGTAGTTTCAAATAAAAGTTAGCAATTTTTATTTCATGGTTTCATCTCCAAGTTTCATGAAAATGTTTTAAACACTTTCGACCTTGATTAGGCTATATGACTCGCCTATGTGATGGTTCCTGGGCTCAGTCCTCCCGAGGATGTCAAGTGTCGATGATGTAATTTTGAATGAAATATCATTCCATACGTAGTTTTTCATATTTTTATTTTTGTAATCGGAAATAGTTTGGTTCCATAGGACTTGCTGCCCTCTGTACAGGCTAATTAACTTTAGAATGTTGTCATCTACCCACTCCATCTCATTCAGTTAATTTTCCATTGTTAACACGCGCAAGATAACTACTATAGCGGTCCAGAGAGGGTAACGACACTCTTTCTTGAGTCGAGCCACAGGGTGGTACGAGTGATAAAGTAAGTGAGAGTGGAGGTGGCAGCGTAGGGGATGGCGGAGAAATGTTTCTGTTTCGTGTTTCAACGGCCCGTAGTGACTGAAACCAGTGTTGCAAACAAAAGTTTGCAACTCCCTGTGATCTTTACCGATTTCAGGTGGAAACAAAAATTTCTGTTTCAAACACTAAAACTGTATGCAACAGTGAAATGTTTTGTCTAAAAATGTGTTTTTAGAGCTGTTTGCAAAATACAGGCGGCTTTATGTAAAAATATCTTAGTGAGTAAGTTATCTTGAACTAAGTTAAACACAAACATTATCAGACTATACCAGTAGACAAAAAACTGTGCTTTTTACACATTCCTGACTTATTTTAGGCCTTAACCCTTTAGGGGCCAGAGATTTATTTTGGTAGGCCTACTTTCCAAAAAGTGCCAGAGTTTTTTTTACTAGGTAGGCCTACCTTTGTCTGAAAAGTGCCAGGCTTTCTGTGGGGGCGAAGCGTAGTGTGCAAGAATAAAAATCAGTAAAAGCATAAATTTTCATCCCAAAAGTGCCATGGAACGATATATCGAGCCTCGTTCGTATGAGAAATCGATTTAAATCATCGTTGCCTTATAATAACAACCGAGTCAACCGATATGCCCATTAAAACTCACATGATCAAAAGTCGCGCCGGCCTGATATATCGTTGCAATGTATTTTTCAATAAGACTACCGACGACGATAAGTTATATCGTTGTGAAGTATTTTTCAGATGTGTTGTGCAAAACGATATCGTTATGTGGCACTCAAAGGGTTAAGTACTGATTGGGCTGCACTTTACTTAATGTCCTACACACTCATTCGAATGAACTCAACCGAATGAAAATATCGATTAGGGTATTTGATTGTTATATTCAAAATATCGTTAGGTTAGTTAGGTAAGGTTAACCTAACCTAACTAACCAAACGATATATCAAATGAAACAATCAAATACCCTAACCGATATATCGATCAATACATTCATTCGAATGAGTGTAGGCCATAAAGTAAAGTGCAGCCACTGATTGAAATTGTGATAAACTTAACTTATGTCAGGTAGAAATTTGAACTAAGCAAAGTCGATAGCTGTATTATTGAGGTCCGGTTTGATAAGGAATTATCTCAAAATACAAATGACCAACCCCTAACTTACAGTGGGAGAAGTTAACCCTTTAAGTTACAGAAGAAGGCTACCGGCATATTTGTTAGGCTAGTAAACAGAAATAAGATTTTGCGAATCTCAGATTGATTAATACAGTTGTTTCTATAGAAATTTGGATGAGTCAGAGTTAAGTTATCTTAATAATGCTTCAATAGAGGAAACCTCAAATAGTGTAGGTAGGCCTAGCTGTTTATAATTTAAAACAAAAACTAAGTTATTTTCCTTGACACATGGGGTAGGCTACACTTCCATATCTGTTGGCCCAAACAACCAAATGAGTAATATTGATCGATATATCAATTAGCCTACTCGATATATCGTTTGGTTAGTTAGGTAAGGTTAACCTAACAACTAACCAAACGATATAACTTAGGCCTATCGAATTAAACAATCGAATAATCAATATTACTCATTTGGTTGTTTGTGCCAACAGATATGGAAGTGTACCCGACACATGTTGTAATAAGGTATGGTTCCCTTATGACCCTACCACTGACTAAGAAAAAAAAATGGAAACAACTTTTGAGGTTACCTGCCGCTCTGAATTGGGGTACAGTTTCTTAACTGGGCTATGCTAATATCGATTGAAACTATCGATTCGATTAGTTAACCTTCATGCGATTTTTTCACCATCAGCAAGTTTGGTTGGTTAGGTTATGATAGTTTAATTTTTTAATAGATATATTTAAAAATATCGATTATTAATCAATATTTTCAATTCGATAGTTTCAATCGATATTAGCATAGCCCAGTTAAGAAACTGTAGCCTACCCCTGAATGGTTCAACAATAATACAAGTAAACACTTTCTAGGCCTACATCACAAATTAAGAAATACTTAAGTGGCCCATTTGCATAAACATAGCCTCTTTTTGTTTTGGTCCTAGGCCCAACTTATAAAGAGACTAGGAACAAAACGTGCCATGCCCATGAGGCAGCTTAACCTCCTGTAAACTTAGCCTGCAAAAATAACTTTCAGGCCCGGCCACCTAAAGAAAAGAAATGTCTAAACATTGTCAACTGAGCCTAATTAAAAACTATGGAGATTTTTAATGTGGCTAGGCCTACCCTAATTATCGGAATATTACCTAGGCCTACCAAGATTATTAAAATCTAAGGTTACTGCAAATATTTTTGTTGAGAGTTGACACATTTAGGGTAACTACCGTCCTAATAAAATATATTATGAAGTAAAATTATCTTAATTTCTTACCAGGTCTTCCCATGTTCTGAATTTATAAGAAACTAAATGTATCAACCAAAACAATAACAATTAATGACATATAAGTTAGACGTTTCTCTGCTTGATAACTCCACTGCACGTGGTGGTCGTCCGGTTCCGGTAGTTGCGATTCTGCTGTACCCGGTCCAAGAAAAGAGTACGGAACGGAATCAAGGAAAAGGAATAGCATTTTGACGCAAACGGTAGGTTAGCTATAATTTGAGTCATGTAACTCTACAGTAAAAAAGTCTTAGAATAAACCATTGACTCTGTCTATGGTCTCTTACATTATTATAAAATGTTTACGGACAATAAGGATTAGTCCTTATTCTGAAGGATCTAGAAACTTGCCCGCGCGGCTCAATGAGCCACGAAGTAAGAAACACAACGTTGAGGAAAACTTGCTGCTTGAATTCAAGTTCATTGCAGTAAGATTATTAGGGTAGTCTAAAAACATGATAGAAATTGAGTTTAAATATTTCTGATTGCGTCGTTAAGGTTCTCGTACATTTCTGTTCTCAGTGTTGACTTATTATCTGATATATTGAATGCTAAACGATTTGCTAAATTCATATGAACATGTCTGTAAAATATTGTAACAAAGCTTTTAGTATATATCTATATATGAAGAACTGAAGACATTGTGGCCTTGCCGATAATCTGTGTGAAGCAAACTGAAATTGGGCCGATTTATTTCTTTGAGCAGTAGGTATTCTTCGATTTCAGGCATCCCGCCCCCCTTAGCTCCGTTCTCCGCACAGGAAAAGTAAATTATAGGCCATCGGATCCAATCGTGAACAGTGTGGATCCACCATTTCAGGAGCTCAATTTGTTACATTTACCAGCACACACTGTGGGTTACCAACTGGGCAGCCATAAAGCCCAGCTGGTATTGTTGCTTTGAATACAGCAGCATTTATCTTGTTGTCTTTCAGAGTGTATGCACAGCATCCGCACATTATCACTCTGTTGAAGTAGATTTTCTTAATACCTGTCCCCATGTTTTTAAATCTTGAAAGTATCATGAGTCTGTTTGATGGATTAGATTAGATATAACTCTTGCATTAGATTTTGATAACAATATTAATTTTCTATTATTGGACAGCATATGTTACTTTCTCCCCCTATATATGGGACTTATATAGGTAGAAATTTTCTCTATACTTTGAGGAAAACATACTACTATAACCCAGAATGCTAACCGCATGGTAAAAAGCGTTAAGTATACTCGAATAGAGCTTTGCCTGTCAATTCATAGGCAGCGCCACCAGCACAATGCACCAGCATCCAGCATAGCAACACTTGTGGCATACTTAACGCTTTTTACCATGCGGTTAGCATTCTGGGTTATAACACAGGAGAAAACATACTAGCCTACTAAGTATTTTTTCTGTGGTTATAGTAGCATGTTTTCTGTGCTTTGGTGCTGGTAATTTTCTCGAAGTGATTGGTCGGAAGCCAAACAGATGTCGGAAGACCCTGCCATGACAACGATGCTGTAGGCATTTAGTGGACAATGAGTACCAAAATATATGGTATATAAAGCGAGTGCGTCAGCCACTTCATTTGTCACAGATAGGGGACTGACGTCAGTTTCAGGGTTGGTTAATCTCACATCTTCTTCATGTGAGTGATCTCCAGATACAACAACTTCAAACGCCCCAAATTTATGATGGAAAATTTCTTCAGAGAGCGGGTGAGGGCTGAGGGCAGCCTTAATTGTTTTCCTCAGGCTTATTAAACAATGTTTCCAATATTTTGGCAGTGGAACTTTCCTCAAGAAATTCTCCATCGTTTTTTAGGCACTTGAAACACATCTTCTTTTTGGTGTTATGAAAAAAAACCGGAAGCCATATGTCCTTCAACAAGGGATGTACTGTGACTACAACTCCCAAGATGTCATTTAGGTAAAGGCTTGATCGTAAGCCAGGGCATACTGTACTCAATGGTTCTCAAACCAATTGATTTTTGTTGTGATTATTGCTATTAACGTGACCATGGGAACAAATACTATATATATTTAAATATCGCCAGAAACTAGATTTTTAGCTGAAAATAATTCGGATGAAATATTTGGTATTCTTGGGATTAAGACTATTTCTCCTACAAACTTACCTCTGATGATTGTTGCTTCGTCGATCAAGTTTGGTGTAATTATTTTAATCGACAGTCTGGTTCTGTTGCACAGCTTGGGTGGATTTAAGTTTCACATTAGTATTATTTGAGTTCCTTCTTTTAATGACATTTATGTGGTGGATTAATGACAAATTGGGAGGTATTTGAATACCTTAGATAGCACACACGATTACTGTATTATTAACTTCACTTAATAATTTATGTTAAGAGTGTGTGGGTATAAAACAAAAGATAAAAGTATTAAGGCATTAACCCTTTATTGTTTAAGTTTAATACTTTGATAAAAGCTTTTACTTTTTATGTTTATAGAATTGAAACGTTGTTGTTGTTGAGTGCACAGGTGTGCTGCGATTGAGGTTTAATATATTTGGACTCATCCAAAAGTAAAATAGTATTATGATTATGTGCTGCATTCTGTGGAATCAGTGTAACACTATTTAAAATCATGACTAATACAGAATTTGTTATTATTCAAACCTAAAAAACAATGGTATTTACTCAGGGGAGGTATAGATGAGCTTACGATGACAGCTGTGGGCTTCTCATTAGCTGAGGGAAAACCATTACCGTAACAATACTGTTTGCAGCCATCGGCCTCGGTAGTCTACTGTAGTGGTTAGCGTGCCGGGCTGATATGCTGAGAGTCCCGGGTTCGAATCCCGCTAGTGGCACTAACTTCTTTGACGAAGATTTTTCATTATCAGCAAGTTTGGTTGGTTTGTTTCGGTTATGACAGTTTAATTTTATTATTAAGTCATTATAAAACTTTAATTGAGCAATTACTAGTTTTATTTAATGAACAGAATTATTTTTTCTATTAATAAACTTTTTTTATATTATTTCATTATCAGCAAGTTTGGTTAGTTCGGTTAGGTTATGATAGTAATTTTATAATAAAAAAAATTATAAAATTGAATTTGAGGCATTTATAATTTTACTAGCTGTAACCCGCGGGCTTTGCCCCGTTTAACTTCTTAATTTTCAAGATTATCTCGTTCGCATGGCTCAATCACGTCATGGTTGAAGTTTGTTCGCTACGCTCACTCACCTTTACTTTGGAGCTCGTTCGCTACGCTCACTCACCTTTAGGTTGGAGCTCGTTCGCTACGCTCACTCACCTTTAGGTTGAAGCTCGTTCGCTGCGCTCACTTGCCTTCAGGTTAGCTCGTTCGCTAAGCTAACTCGCCTCTAGGTTGAAGTTCGTTCGCTACGCTCACTCGCCTTTTGGTTGCAAATTAGCTGTTGTCATAAATGTAAAAGAAATAATAGTGCTGCACCCTCTTGGTAATCTTTGTAACTTTAATGCTATTGAACATCATAGAACAGAACCAACTTGTTTAATTGAAACAGCTGTTAAGATTCAATAATTCCATTTCTCATAAGGTTAACATGGGAAACTCCAGAGCCACTGGGGCGGAGCCCGAAAGGATTTTTGAAATAAGAATGTGCCTATATGTTAATCGGGAATGTGAGCTATCGTCATGCCAAATTTCAGCCCAATCCGACCAGTATTTTTCGAGTTTACTTTTCCCATACACACATACAGCAACCACCTCTTTTTTATAATAGTATAGATAGATAGATTTTATGAACAGAACTATTTTTGCGGTTAGTAAACCTTCATTGCCAAAATGCTCTCCACTACAGCGCTGTTCACGGAGAAATTTTGAACTAATTCCTCAATCGTACCTCCCCTAAGTCAGACCCCAAAACAGTTGGTGAAAGTAAACATCTGATTTTAAATTATATTTACTAGAGTACATGTTGCTCGAATTCGAGCAATTATTGGAGGAAACTAAGGTATAACCACAGTCTAACAATAAATCATTTATATATATTAGACTGTGGTATAACCATTGACTATTGGATACAGAAGGAAGTTTTTTTTTTAAATGAATAACGAATATTTACTATGAGTTTATAAAAGAGTCAACTCAAAGATTACCGGTGTGTAACTCATGGAGATATGAACCTGTACATAAGATAAAGATGCTCACTATGTTTAAAACAGTAATCAACATTTCCTGTATCATATTTCATAGCCTGGCATTGCTTTTTAATGTTTTCTACAAACATTTCCTGACTTATAGCCACATGGTTGTCCATGTTTATCTTCATTACGTTATTAAACCTATGCATGGTACCACATTTGTCGCCTGCAGTAAGTTGATTGATTGTAAGAGGGTGGACTCATGGTCCAAGCACGTCAACCGAAGCTTATTGTGCATCCCGCTTGCCACTAACTGGGTAAGCCTATGCCTGTGTCCCTAACTAGGTGCAGGAGCTTTTGCCCAATGTTAGCGTCTGGTTCCTCACCTGGCTGCTTTAGACCAAACAGAGCCATTCTCCTAGCCCGTAGTCCATCGCAGTCCAGAATAATGTGTTTTGCAGTCTTATCGGACTGGTTACAAAGTCGACACTCCTGCTTGTCATTGACAATTCCTAGAGTGTGGAGATGTTTCCTGAAATGGCCGTGTCCAGTGATAAGAGCAAGTACCTGCTTGACCTGCCCTCTCCCCAGCTTTAGCAGCCAGCGAGTGAAGAGGGTGCTATAGGTTCTGAGAGCAGTTTTTTTCCAAGTGATTGTCCAGGATAATTACGCCAACGCTCAAGATGTTGTCCCCTGGACCATTTGTTGATTACATGTTTAGCGGCCGCTTTGCTGATGCCAAAAAATGGCTCTGGTCCAAAGAGTGGCATGATCGCACCTTTTTTTGCCAGCTTGTCTGCACTCTCGTTGCCGCCAATGCCTAAATGGCCTGGGACCCAGCCGAGAGTTACAGAGTTCTGTGATGCAAGTCTGCAGAGGGTGTTGAAACACTCCCAGACTAGTTTTGAGGTGACTTCATTTGAGTCAAGAGCTTTGAGAGCAGCCTGACAATCAGATAAAATCACTATCCTTTTGTCTTGGTACCGTCTGGCTAGTCCTAGGTTGGAACAAGCCAAGATGCCATAGATTTCTGCCTGGAAGATGGTACAGTATTGTCCCAGACTTCCTGATAGTTCTGTTCTGGGTGATCGACAGTAAACCCCAAAACCAGATTTTCCATCGATTAGGGAGCCGTCTGTGTACCAGACGAAGCTCTCCATATCTTGGAGATGCCCTTCCTGATGTTTCCACTCATCTCTGGAGCGGAATTCAACATTAAAGGGTTTGGTGAAAACTGCTTCCTTGCTTAGGAAGTCCGAGGTCATGTCAAGCACAGGACACTCAGCCAAAGTCTTAGCAATGGCGCAGTGGCCTGCCCCTGACAGGCCTTCCCTCCACAGATTTGCAACCCTCAGACGGTAAGCTGCCTTGAGGGCCTCAGATCTGATGAAGATGTCCAGTGGTAGCAGCCCAAGAGCGACTTCTAGAGTAGCTGATGGACTGCTCCTGAAGGCTCCAGTGGCCTGTAGCGTGCCGAGCCTTTGCATGCTTTCTAGCTTGGCTATGACAGTTACCTGATTCACCTTTGTCCACCAGACTAGTGAACCATAGGTAACCTGAGGCCTGACCACAGCCTCGTATAGCCAGAGTGCTATGTGGGGTTTAATTCCCCAGGTGGTTCCTGCAAACCTCCTGGACGTCATGAGCGCCCATTTGGCCTTATTCTAATAAATTTGAGTAATTCTTTAATAAAGATAAACACTTTTTTCATCACCTTTTAGACTCTCTGTTGTCTGTCACAATTTTATTTGTTCAATTGACGCATTTTTGTTTAGTTGCAATAACGTTAATTCTATTTACCTGAGAAAATTCAGAGTTAAAGACCTGATGTTGCTCAGTTGGTTTTTGTTTCCCTTAGCTATACATGAATAATAATTAATCCCTTCAATAAAAATGTTAGTAAGGGTTTCTTGGATATTTTCATAGGCTACCTATTAAATTCTAAAATTCCTTAACTTTTATGGAAACATAGATTAATGTCATTGACGTACCAGATTTATTTGGCTTTAGAAGGCTTTCCTCTGCAATGATCACAAAGTTATAGGTCCATGTTTCCTACAAAAAATTGTAGCACTTCGGCCAACATCCTAGTTCATCGTTTGTAGGAATCTGAATTTTTTAGGTGTTCTTCATTATATAGGCTAATAACGATAATAAATTCTTTAAAAATTATCTATATATCTAATTCCGTAAGCCCACAATTTTACAATGAAATTGTGAGCGAACGGGAGGGCGTAGAAAGCTGGGAGGGGTCTCATTTTAAAGGTCTGGGCATGAAATTTTGGGGAAATTATTCATTTTTCTTAATTATGCACCAAAAGGATGTGACAGAATAAAATAATTCACATTTAAATAACATGGGAATCTAGGTCATGTCTGCTTTGTTTACATTAAAACATGTGGTTTAACTTTATTTAAAGCATATGGTAATATGTAATATGCCCTGTAATATGTATACTAACCCTTAAGAGAGGTTGAACATACCGGTACCAATTGACTATATAAATTTAATTTCACGATCTGGAATGCCACCACACAAATTAGTTTTAAAAGTTGGTTCAATAGTGATGCTCATTAGAAATATGAAGCTAGGGTCTGGATTAGTTAATGGAGTACGATTGGTTGTGTTAGGTATTACTAGAAAAAGTGTAAAGTTAGTAGTAATTACTGGAGTAGGCAAAGGAAACAAATTTTCCATGCCAAAAATAAAACTTATATCCACAGATCCTAATATGCCGTTTAAGTTTACAAGGGAAATTTTCACAAATATTGGCATTTATTAGAAAAATTTATCTCCACGTATTTTATCTAAGTGAATTTGTCTATATTCAAAGAAATTTATAAACATTTAATTAATAGTCATGAAGATTATTATTGAAAATTGTCCTGAGTTGTATTATGATTAGAAAGTTTATATTATAAACACACCGCATGAAAAATCCTTTGTAATTTTTATTTTTAATAGAGCAGACCTCAAAATGCATAAGGCAGGTATGTAATAACTATTATACATATTATATCATATAAAATAATGTTAAACGATAATCAAGGTAGGGTAACCCATGGGACTAATAATTTGTACAAAATAGTTACTACAATATATACATAGGGGCTACTGCCCCTACAAGCCACTAGTTATCTCTATTTCTTCTATTTGGTGGCGTTCTATGACTTTTTATGTTTCCATAATTTGGAAATGGGTTCTTTCGATTTAATTTTTGTAGGACACATTTCTTTTAATTGCAGCTTAAATATTAACAGCAATTAAATATCCAGCTGATCATAATGTAAACAAATATGTTCTTCATAAGGATAAAATGGGAACTTAAAAAGCCACTGGGGAAGAGCCCAAGGGACTTTTTCAAAAATTTAAGGTCAGTTTGCAAATCTACACAACACGCTCTTTCCGAAGAGACATCAATGGATAAAATCGGTTAAGAAATGGCAGAGGAGTTCAACCAACAAATTTCATGTTGACGTAAGATTTTTAAACATTGTGGTTCCAAAAGTCTGACATTGGACTCCTTAAAACCCTCTGGGACGGAACCCTTTTGACAGATCTGCACCAAACTTCACACTAACCATCCTTGAATAATGCTTAATAATGCCTGGACGTTTTATTACAATCTGTTGAGCGGTTTCGGAGTCCATAGGTTATGTATATATACATACATACTTCCCCAATATTGATTGTTTTTCTCTTTCTTCAACCACAGAATCAGAGCTGGCCTTAAAAAATGTGATAAGTGATGTCACACAGGGCCCCGCTCTTGTTGTAAAAGTTTGTAAATTTAACGTTTATTATGTCAATTATGAAAAAGAAAAAGGGGGAGTATTAATACTAACTAATATTATACACTGAGATTGTGTTGGTAAGTAAACAATTGTTGGGATTCTATTTTTCGGTAGTAACTAGTAAGGGCCCCGCTCTGAACTAATTACGATAAAATAAATGTATAACATAATGCATTTTGTTGTAAAAAACTGACGTGGCATATGTTTACTGGTGATGTATCACAATTAATTATGTAAATTCTAATAGACGAATAAACTTAATTTAATTTCATTTCAATGTTTGCCCTGGGCCCTGCAGGCTTACCTGCAACCTATAAGGCCAGCTCTGCATAGTACTATTCTCTGCAATTCAGCAATTAACTAACAAGGTTGAGGAAAGGGTATAAAGAAAAATGTCCCCTATATTTGGAAGATGGTACAGTAACCACGAAGTAAATAAACAGGCGGCACAATTTTTATTTCACTATTAGTTTTGCCAACAGTGTCATTTGGAGGCTTCTGATAGGCTGACGTCACTCTCTTCTCTTGAGGGAACACCATTACCGCAACGATACGGTATAGAGCCATCGGCCTCTGTGGTGTAGTGTAGCATACCTGGCTGATAAACTGAAGATAGCCGGATCGAATACCACCAATAGTCCAGTCAAGGAATGAGGTGTAGAGTGCGTGAGCAGGTAAAGGCCTTTTCACACCGGCGTACTGGACGTACTGTACGTTTGGTACGGCCAGTTCGTACAGTACGCGGTCCTTTCACACCGCACAGAAACTTCCAAAACGTACACTTGTTCGTTTGCAGTCAGACAAGTAACACTGGCTGAGCACGTGGTTTTGGTGTGACCACTGCGCATGCGCGAGCTCGCGTACGCCTCGTATGATTTAGAAAAATCGCTCTCCGAGCGATTCTCACAAAACCATCGCGTACGTACTGTACGTACAGTACGTTCTGTACGCGCGGTGTGAACGAGCCCATATGATAACATGGACAGCGATTTGTAAAAAAAAAACGTACCAAACGTACAGTACGTCCAGTACGCCGGTGTGAAAAGGCCTTAACTAAGCGATTCCTTCAGAAACTTGTTCAGGGGGTTAACATACCAAAAGTCCTGACTCCTAGGTGGTGAGCCAGGGGGTGGAGGGGGGAAAAAGGGGGGGGAAAGGTACGCATTTTGGGTTTTTTGATTATATCTCGAAAACTATCAACTTTTTGTATACTATAGTAAATTATAAAATTGAAGAAGATTAAATTTTCTACAAGAAAAGTATATAATGTGTTTATTTTGGTTCAACAGATTACGAGTTATAACTTATTTAATTGATATCTTATTGAAATCTTCTTCCATAAGAAATACATGTAAATGAGTATGCAAAATGGGGCGAATCCTATCCGCCCAAATGAAATATAAATGATATTCTGGAAATCTTGACAAAATTTCCAGTAATTTGACACTTAATCATGAAATTTTGTCAAAAATTAAAGCGAGGGTGAGCGTTTAAAAATGGGATTTAATTTTTAATTTTTGACAAAATTTCATGATTAAGTGTCAAATTACTGGAAATTTTGTCAATATTTCCAGAATATCAGTTATATTTCCTTTGGGCGGATAGGATTCGCCCCATTTCGCATACTAATTTACATGTATTTCTTATGGAAGGAGTATTTTAATAAGATATCAATTAAATAAGTTATAACTCGTAATCTGTTGAACCAAAATAAACACATTATATACTTTTCTTGTAGAAAATTTAATCTTCTTCAATTTTATAATTTACTATAGTATACAAAAAGTTGATAGTTTTCGAGATATAATCAAAAAACCCAAAATGCGTACCTTTTTCCCCCCTCCACCCCCTGGCTCACCGCCTAGGAGTCAGGACTTTTGGTATGTTAACACCCAAAGCCCCCTGAACAAGTTTCTAAAGGAATCGCTTAGTTACCTGCTCACGCACTCTACACCTACTTTTGGATCATTCATTGACTGGACTACAATAGCACTAACTTTTTGTCAACAATTTAGCTTAGAAAGTGATTACTTCTTAACTGTACATCTTTTGTTAGAATTTGAGGCATCCTTATATATAATACGTGAAGGCGATTTCTTGAAAACACTACTCCTCCGTTAATAATGGACGGATTTTTACAAACGACGTGTCAAAATAAAGTATTTTTTGTGTAGACGCCCCCTTTCACCAATTCATGTAATAAAAATCCTCGGGCTTTGCCCCACGGGCCATCAAAGTTGGATTTTCTCCCATAAGATTAACATGGGGGAATTTAAATATTTAATTGGAAACTTTGTCCCCACTAATTTGAGAGAACGGCTGGGCGTAGAAACTTGGTAGAGGTGTCCAAAGAAAGGTCTTGGTCTGTAGATGAGATATCAAAAGAAAAACTAAGAAAAATCCCTTAGGGCTCTGCCCCAGAAGCCTTTAAAGATCCCTCCACAGAGTTGTTTACATTTTGGCCATGTGAATAATACTTTTTAATAAAACAGCTGTTCATTTTTAAATTGTATTTCAAACCACACATATTTATTGGGTTACTGAATTGTACCAAATAAGTATTTGCAATGTTATTTTCTGATTTTAAAATTAATTTTCCTCTTTATCATGTCATGTTTTGCAATATAACATTCTATTACGAAATCAGTGGAAAATCCTTTGATCACAGAAATTCTTAAATTATTTCTTATTGAACTTTCTTATATCTATTGTACGGGTTGGTGTTTGCCTTTTTCACCACTTTTGCCTAAATTTTATCATATTATACTACACATATCAAATATTAATGTAGAAATATCTGCTCTTATCGTGTCTAATAAAATCCAAACATAGAAACATTGCCTAAAAT